GAAGCCTGTAGACCCGAATCTTTCAACATTTCTGCAAATTCGGGATGGTCAACGGTCAAGCCATTACCTGCTAAAAAAAACTGGGCTGGCACTTTTCTTTGTCTCAACAGTTTGACCGCATCCAGGTACTCGCGGATGCCTTTTCCTTTGTGGAATCTTGCCACAACGCCAACCCAAACATCGGCCGTCCTCTGATAACTTGCGCGAATGTGGTTGCGCACTTCAGCATCAGGAATAAACTCCCCTAAGCTGATTCCGTTGGGAATGACAGTTTGACGGCCATGTAAACTCATGGCTCGATGCGCATTCTGACCCGAAAAAGAATTGTAGATGACAAGATCTGGGTGACACCATCGTGACAGACTTAGCGCGAAACGGGTCATCCTATTATCATTCGCCGGCCCTACAATTGCGTTGCGCACATTCCAGGCGACCTTTACCTTCGCGGAAGTGGTCTTCTGCACACACCAGGCCAGCCCAGACGCCAGAACGTTTCCGTAATACATCCAACCCTGCAGAATATCTGGCGGATGTTGTCGCAACAGCGTTAACGCCTGCCACAGTACCCATGGACCGCTGCGCCGATAATCAAGCCAGCTGACCTGGACACCGAGGCTTTCTATTTTCTGACCAAGGGCGGTCGGAGGACCAAAACAGATCACGTGATGTGCAAGCTTTTCCCGGGTGCCGGCAATCAATCTGAGCAAGCTGGTTTCGGCACCACCGGTATCCAGACGGACGATGAGATGGGTAATGCGGCGGGTAGTGGACATGGCTGAGCATTGTCCACCACCCCGGCAAAAAAGCCAGCCCGCAGGCGCAGGTTAATCTACAAAAGCAATTTTATCTTTGTTCACTTCGATGACAGCGGGTCCGACACCACGCACATCCAGCAGGTCGTCAACGCTCAGAAAATCACCAAACTTCTCGCGATATTCAACTATGGCCTGAGCCCGCGCGACACCGATGCCGTCTAACATCTCGGCCAATACTTCAGCCGACGCGGTATTTACATTGATACTGCCTTGCGGCAAAGCAAACGAAACCTGGCTGATGATTAATAAACTGATCGCCAGTAGCTGCTGCAGATAGGTCATGTGTCCTTCCTTTTTCGAATTGGGAGGACAAGCATGCCCTAAGCGACTATTCAGAGGCTGCCAGCGAGCGCCGGCACCCGCTGTAGGTATTTGTCAGGGCTTACTGGTAGTACTAAACCTGCCGGCAGCACCAAAAGATCCCCAGGCCCGGCAGCCTGGACAGTGCCACAACACCTGCGCACTGGTAAATCCACAATTGCCGCACTGGTATCCCGCCTGACTATTTACAATCTGCGCCACCGTGAGGCGGATGTCTTCCGCTTCTGGTTTGCGTTGGCCCAGTTCCATCAACAGAGGCAGATGCCCGAAGCTGGGCGCGCGGGTAATTTCTTCAATCAGTTCATCAGCACCCAGTTCCCTGCCATTTTTACGCCGAAAATTGATTAAATCCTGCAACAGGAGCGGGTCAGGATAAAGCCGCAAGCTATGCCGCACAAAACGCTCAAATTCATCATCACGACCCATACTTTCGCAGGCTGCGCGATACACTTCCACATAATGACCAACCAGTTCCGGTGCCAGCTCCACCGCTTTCTGAATATGACGTAACACCGGCTTATAGTGTTTTCGGGCATATTCGACTTTAGCCAACAGCCAATGACTCCGAGCTTCAGCGGGTGCCAGTGACTCAGCCTTTCCAGCCAGCGCGAGTGCCTTACGCACATCGCCAGCCTCTAAACTCAACTCCGCCAGCTCACAATAAAAGTGCGCCACCCGGGTACGCAGCTCTGGTTTCGTTTTGAGCAGCTTTGTGCTGATGTCTATACCCTGTTGCCATTCGCGCTCCTGCTCAAAGAGATCTAACAGAAGTTCCAATGCAGGTAACTCCTGCGAGCCTTTGCGTTGGGCAATCTGTTGTAAGAGGTTTTCAGAGCGATCAAACAGGCCGGCTGTGTGGTAGTCGCGGGCCAGCTCCATTTCCACAAGCTGTTTGTTGATTTGGTTCAAAACCGGGGAGGCCAGCAGATTCTGGTGAATACGTATGGCCTTATCCACTTCGCCGCGTCGGCGCACAACACCTGCCATTGCCAGATGGACATCTATGGTTTGATCTGACACCTCCATGCCATCAATAAACCGATCCACACCCAGTTCCGGGCGGTCTCCCAATAGAAAATTCAGTCCCTGATAGTAATCTTTGATCACCGCCTGCTGCGGCCTCTGCGCTTTCCGCTCGCGACGACCCAGCAGGAAGCCGGTGCCCACTGCAACCAGTAAAAGAAGGTACAACAGAATATTGTGGGGAAGATCCACGATTAAACCCGGTTAGTGTTCTGTAGGTGTTAGCTCTGCACAGTCAGCGAGCGCAAACGCTCTAGTTCGGATTCAGCCTGGGCCAGAGATTGTTTCAGCTTGCGCGCCTGCATGCGGGCTTTAACGTTCATCCAGAGCGCATTGGACAAACCAAAGGTCAGGCCGATCAGGAAGGCGGCCAGCATCCACCAGAACATAGACAGCTTAAAAGGTGTCTCCCACACGGCAAAAGTGAGCGACATCTCAGGCTGATCCACTGCCAGTGCAGCGAATAGAAAAAAAATCAACATCGCTACGATGAGAGCGATGGTTTTTAACCACTTCATTGAAATTTATCCCTCTAAGACAACGCTGTCAGAACCCGGCTTAAGATAGCAGAGGACTATATGTTTGACACCAGGTCAAGTGCGAGCAGTGCTAAAGATCACGATGCCGGGTCGTTGGACTGGTTAAAACTATCCAATACCTGTTGATCACCAACACCATCATGCATTTTGCGCTGCTCAAGCTCCGCATGCAGAGCACTGTTCACTCGGTCTCGCAGTTCCTTGCCAGGCTTAAAATGAGGGACATGTTTACCCGCGAGACCGACGGATTCGCCGGTCTTGGGGTTACGGCCGATTCGCGGTGCTCGATAATGCAGCGAAAAGCTGCCGAACCCGCGAATCTCTATACGTTCTCCACTTGCCAAAGTGAGGGACATCTGCTCGATCATGGTCTTCACTGCCAGCTCTACATCTTTGCTGGACAGTAACGAGCCGGATTGCTGCACTTGTGCTGCCACAATGCGTTCAATCAGCTCCGACTTGGTCATGCTTTCTTCCGTCATAAGCAAAAGAACCTTTTAACCGTTTCGTCTACTAAAGACGTGTTCAGATCAGTCGTCTTTCTGTTCCATCTGCGCCTTGATCAGATCACCCAGGGTTGCTGCCCCAGGACGCTCTGTTTCAGAACGCTGATGTTCTCGAACAGCTGTTCGCTCTTCTTCAATGTCTTTCGCTTTGATCGACAGGCCAATGGTGCGATTTTTGCGATCGACACTGATGATTTTCACTTCAATCGGATCACCCACGTTCAACACGTTGCGCGCGTCTTCAACCCGATCAATGCTGATCTCAGAAGCTTTCAGAACACCGGTGACCTCTTCAGCCAGCTCAATCACAGCTTCTTTGGGTTCCACCTCGATAATGGTGCCGTTCACAATGGTGCCGCGATCGTTGACAGCGGTGTAATCCGAGAAGGGATCCTGGTCCAGCTGCTTGATGCCTAAGGAGATACGTTCACGCTCAGGATCAACAGACAGAATCAGTGTCTCTATCTCTTCACCTTTGGAGTAACGACGCACGGCTGTTTCACCGGTTTCGTTCCAGGAGATATCAGACAAGTGAACAAGACCGTCGATACCACCGTCCAGACCAATGAAAATACCAAAGTCGGTAATTGACTTGATGTTGCCGCTGATCCGATCGCCTTTTGCATGGCTGAGGCTGAACTCTTCCCATGGGTTGGGACGACACTGTTTCACACCTAAGGAGATGCGACGACGATCTTCATCGATATCCAGAACCATCACTTCACACTGATCACCGACCGAAACAACTTTTGACGGGTGAATGTTCTTGTTGGTCCAATCCATTTCAGAGACGTGTACCAGACCTTCAACACCCTCTTCGATTTCAGCAAAACAGCCGTAGTCGGTGAGGTTGGTGACGGTTGCCAGAACGCGTGATCCTTCAGGATAGCGGCGAATGATGTTGATCCATGGATCATCACCCAGCTGCTTCATACCCAGGCTGACGCGGTTCTTTTCGCGGTCGAACTTGAGGATACGAACGTCAACTTCATCGCCGACGTTAACCATTTCAGACGGATGACGAATACGCTTCCACGCCATGTCGGTGATGTGCAACAGACCGTCAACGCCGCCAAGGTCAACAAACGCACCATAATCGGTGAGGTTTTTGACAATACCTTTAACGTCCTGACCTTCCTGCAGAGAACCAAGCAGCGCTTCACGCTCATGACTGTTTTCTTCTTCCAGAACCGCACGACGTGATACCACAACGTTGTTGCGCTTCTGATCTAATTTGATGACTTTAAATTCGAGGGGCTTACCTTCCAGATGCGCGGTTTCACGCAATGGGCGGATGTCGACCAATGAGCCGGGCAGGAACGCGCGGATGTCATTGATATCAACTGTAAAGCCACCTTTGACTTTGCCGTTGATAATACCGGTGACCACCTCATTGCCTTCGTGGGCGGCTTCAAGGTGCATCCAGGACTCGGCGCGGCGCGCTTTCTCACGGGACAGGCGGGTTTCACCCCAACCATCGTCGACCACTTCCATGGCCACTTTAACCTGGTCACCTATAGCCAGGGTGAATTCACCCTGCTCATTTAAAAACTGGCTTCTTGGAATAACGCCTTCAGACTTCAGACCTGCGTGGACAACCACCCAGTCAGCGTCAATATCAACCACCGTGCCGGTAACGATGGACCCTGGGGCCATCTCGATGGACTGTAAACTTTCTTCAAATAGGTCGGCAAAAGATTCGCTCATAAATGTCGCTCTAACTTGTCACCTGCCGAACGGCCGGTGTGAACAAGCAGTGCTCTCCGTTGGTTAGTTAAAAAAAACGCGCAAGCGCCTTACTTCGGCTGCCACAAACCCAGTTTTTGAGCATGAGACAGGACCTGCTGCACCACCATTTCGATAGTCATATTTGTACTATCAAGGACGATGGCATCTGCGGCTGGTTTCAGCGGGGCGATCGTGCGACCTCGATCCCGGGCATCACGTTCTTGGATCTGCTCGAGAAGGCCGCGCAAACTAACACTTAAGCCTTTGTTTTTCAACTGTTTATAGCGACGCTCAGCACGCACCTCAGCGCTGGCATCAAGGAAGATTTTCAGCGCTGCGTCGGTAAAAACCACGGTACCCATATCCCTGCCATCGGCGACCAGGCCCGGCGCTTGCCGGAAACTGCGCTGCAGATCAAATACAGCAGCGCGAACCGCGGGCAGATGGGCGACTTTCGAGGCGTTTTCACCGGCATCTTCAGTGCGGATTTCATCGGTGAGGTCCAGGTCTTCCACCTTAACGCGATCATCCGCAAAACTGATGTGCAGCGCACCCGCCAATTCAGCCACGGAGGTTTCATCTGCGAGATCGATACCCCGACGCACGCTCATGGCACCAACAATGCGATATAGCGCACCAGAATCCAGCAGGTGCCAGCCCAGCGTGTCCGCAACCAGTCTGGCCAGGGTGCCTTTACCTGATCCGGACGGACCATCAATAGTGATAACGGGAATGTCTGTCATATCCGGCAGTACCTGCATTTATTCTTCAAGCTGGCCCCGCCGCTCAGCAGCGGCACGCAGGGCAGCCAAACCTGTGACCTCGTCATTTTTCTCTAATGCTTCAGTGAAGCTCTGCAGATGCGCCGTAAAGTCAGCTGCCGCATCCAACACCTGCTGACGATTCATGCACAAAATACGCCACCACAGCTCGGGGTTAGCCGCTGCAATACGCGTGAAATCGCGGAAACCTCCTCCACTGTAAGCCAGTTGATCCGGGTCTACCTGCTGCATGAACACATAAGCCAGGAGGTGAGGTAGATGGCTGGTGACCGCCAGCATTTCATCATGCGCCTGTGGCGATAAACGGGTCACTTCGCTGCCACAGGCACGCCAGGCTGATTCAACCCGCTGTAAAGCATTGTTGTCGGTTGAAACCAACGGTGTCAGGACCGTTGTTGCGCCGGCAAACAGATGGGCGTCAGCCGCCTGGGGACCGCTGCGATCAGAGCCTGCGATAGGATGACTGGGAACAAAATTTGGTGAAACACCCCCGCCCGCAAGGAGCGCTTCGATGATCGGTGCCTTCACACTACCCACGTCAAACATCGGCACCCGCAGCGATGCCAGAGCTTTCACCTGCTCTGCGACACGGTCACTAGGGGTACATATCGCAATCAGTTCAGCATCCGGGGGTACGTTTGCGCATATTTCATCAACCAGTCCGAGCTCCAGAGCAAGCTTCGCTGCTACGGGGTTCGTTTCAACACCGACGATATGACGTGCAAATGATGCAGCACGCCAGGCCGCACCCAGCGACCCGCCTATAAGTCCAACGCCGACAATGGCAACTTTCTCAAGGGACATAGGTTTAAGCGTCACAGCCACTCACTTGCTTGCTTGCTTGCGCTTGTGTACACGGACGAGCGCTTCAGATAACTGAGGGCAGCACATCTAAAAACCGCTGATTCTCTTCAGGCAAACCAATGCTGACACGCACATGGCTCGGCAGGCCATATTCGGCGATAGACCTAACAATAACACCCTGCTGCAGAAGCGCCTGAAAGACTTCTGTACCGCTGCGGCCGGCATCAAAACTCACAAAATTCCCCATGGATGGAATGTATGACAGGCCCAGTGCGCTCAAACCCTGTGTTATCTGTGTCATACCCTGCCTGTTAAGATCAACGCTGACACTGACAAATTCCTGGTCTTCCAGCGCAGCTGCTGCTGCCGCCAGACCAATGCTGCCAACATTGAACGGTTGCCTGGCTCTGTTTAACAGGTCTGCAAACGCTTCCGAAGACAAACCGTAGCCGACACGCAGAGCCGCAAGCCCATGAATTTTTGAGAACGTTCGGGTGACAATGAGGTTCGGATGAGCCTGCAGCAACGCCAGGGCATCAGGATATTCCGGATGGTCAGCGTACTCCAGGTAAGCTTCATCGAGCACCACCCAGACATGCTCGGGCACACTATCAAGGAAGGCTTTGAATGCATTATGGGTAACCCAGGTACCGGTTGGGTTGTTCGGATTGGCAACAAAAACCACCGTTGTCTGAGGTGTGATCGCCGCCGCCATCGCTTCCAGATCGGTACCAAAATCTTTTGCCGGCACTTCAATCAAACCACCTCCGGCAATTGTTACCGCCAGCCGGTAGACCACAAAACTGTGTTCAGAAATGACCGCCTGGCACCCTGGCTCAACGGTAACCCGGGCAATCAGATCGAGAACATCGTTAGAACCATTACCGAGGGTAATCTGACCAGATCTAACGCCCGTATGTTTCACCAACGCCTGCTTTAAGACGTAACCATTACCGTCAGGGTAGCGCGACAGCGTTGCCGTTTCGCGTTGAATAGCTTGTTGCACCAGCTCACCCGGACCACGAGGGTTTTCGTTACTTGCAAGTTTGATAATACTGTCCAGACCAAGCTCACGTGCCAGCTCGTCTATCGGTTTGCCAGGCTGGTAGGGGCGAAGACCTGCGATGCCCTGGTGAATATGAGGCTTTTGTGTCATTTCTAAATTTTCTCGCCGCTAAATCACTGATTGAGGGTATGAACCCAGAGAGCGGACTTCAAATGCCACCGCTTTGATCGCTTCAATAACCTGTTTCGCCTGCGGGTCGCTCTGATGGCCATCAAAGTCTATGAAAAACACATAGGACCAGTCACCGGAGCGTGCCGGCCGGGTTTCAATCCGAGTCAGGCTGATACCGAAGCGCTCAAATGGCTCAAGTACACGCAACAGCGCGCCCGGTTCATTACGAACGGACACCAACAGCGAAGATTTATCTTTGCCACTGGGGCCTACATCCTCCTGGCCCAGCACAATAAAACGCGTTTTGTTATCAGGCTGATCTTCAATTCGGGCACTCAATACGCGCAGGCCGTAACGATCTGCAGCAATTTCTCCTGCAATCGCGGCAATATGCGGGTGAGTCAGTGCCTGTTTGGCCGCTTCCGCATTACTGGCCACAGCGATACGCGGAATACCAGGATAATTGCGGTCCAGCCAGCCCCGGCACTGGGCCAGGCTCTGGGCATGGGAACGAATTTCGGTGATTTCGCCTTCTGCATCCTCGCCCCGCAACAGCGCATGATGAATGGCCAGCTCAACCTCAGCACAGATCTTCACTTTGGAACCCATGAAACAGTCGAGGGTGTGATTCACCATGCCTTCAGTGCTGTTCTCTACAGGCACAACGCCATAGTGGGCCGCCTGGGACTCCACTTCGCGGAACACCTCATCAATAGAGGCCAGCGGCTTGGTAGTCGCAAAGTGACCAAACTGTTTGATCGTAGCTGCTTCAGTGTAGGTACCCTCGGGGCCAAAATAGGCCACGGTAAGAGGGAGCTCCAGGTTCAAGCAGCAGGAGATCACTTCGCGGAACAACCCTGCAACATCTGTATCTTTAAGAGGTCCGGGGTTTTTCTGCATCAGGGAAGTCAGTATCTGAGCTTCACGCTCCGGGCGATAAAAAACCGGCGGTTCAGCCGACGTCTGGCCCTGTTTGATTTCACCCACTTCCAGCGCGCACTGGGCACGATCATTCAGCAGGCGCAGCAGCTCGACGTCTATGCGATCGATGCGCTCACGCAACGGCTTAAGCTTGTCGTCATCCGTGTTCATTCTCAAACTCGTGCATGTAGGTAATCAGGGCATCCACTGCATCTTCGGGTACCGCATTATAAATACTGGCCCGCATGCCGCCGACACTGCGATGCCCTTTCAAGCCAGACATTCCACGATCCAGAGCGCCGCTGACAAATTGCGCATCGAGCGCCTCGTCGGGCATGGTAAACGGTACATTCATCGTGGAGCGCACATCCGGCTGCACAGGAGATTGATAGAAATTACTGTTATCGATCACTGCATAAAGTTTGTCTGCTTTGCGTTGATTTGTTGCCGCGATGGCATCTAAACCACCCTGCTGCTTCAACCATTCAAACACCAGACCCGCCAGATACCACGCGTAGGTGGGCGGCGTATTCGACATGGAGTCCGCATCCGCCTGCACGGCGTAATCCAGCGTTCCAGGTGTTTCGTGGCGCGCCTGACCACACAGGTCTTTACGTACAACCACCATCGTTAGACCCGCGGGACCCAGATTCTTCTGCGCGCCACCGTAAATCAGCGCAAACTGCTCAACATCCACCGGTCGGGATAGAAAGTCTGACGACATATCCGCCACTAAAGGCGCTGATACCTTAGGAAATTCTTTGAACTGCACCCCACCAATGGTTTCGTTGGAGCAGAGGTGCAGATAGCTGGCATTGTCACTGAGCCGCCAGGTGTCCACTTCAGGAATGTAGCTGTAGTGACCACTCTTACTACTGGCTGCAACATTAACCAGGCAATATTTGCCGGCTTCTTTTATCGCTTTGGCTGACCATGAACCTGTATCGATGTAGTCAACTACGTCACCAGATGCAGTTAAATTCAGGGGGATCGCTGCAAACTGAGTAGTTGCACCACCCTGCAGAAACAGCACATGATAATCGTCAGACACACCCAGCAGAGAACGAAAATCAGCTTCTGCCTTGGCTGCAACTGCAACAAATTCTTTACTTCGGTGACTCATCTCCATCACCGACATGCCGCTACCTTGAAAGTCCAGCATCTCCGCCTGGGCTCGCTCCAGCACAGACAATGGCAGCGCAGCAGGTCCGGCGGAAAAGTTAAATATCCTCGCCAACTTAAGGTTCTCCGTATGAGTTTTGTAGTTTAGGTTTGCGGGTCAGCGTCTGTATCGGTTTCGCTGTCACCTGAAGATGCTGCGTTTAAAGCCGCTTCAGCGGCTGCATCCGCTTCGTGGACCACCGCCTCTGCGATACGCTCCACACTGTTGAGCAGCTCACCGTCTTTCACATTGATAAGACGTACACCCTGGGTATTGCGACCCAGTTCTGAAACCTGATCCGCAGCTGTGCGCACGAGGGTGCCCATGTTGCTGATCAGCATCAGTTCATCACCGGGAAACACCTGTACAGCACCCACCATGGCGCCGTTGCGATCGCTGGTTTGCATGGCAATAACACCCTGGCCACCCCGTCCTTTGACTGGATACTCCTCGATAGGCGTGCGTTTGCCGTAGCCATTTTCACTGGCCGTCAAAACGGTACCGCCTTCGGCAGGAATAATCAGAGAGATGACACGTTGGCCACTCTGCAGGCGGATACCACGTACGCCTTTAGCCGTGCGACCCATCGCCCGTACGTCGGATTCCTTAAATCGCACGGCTTTGCCTGCGCTGCTGCACAACATCACGTCACTGGAACCATTGGTGATGGCAACACCGACCAGAGTGTTGCCCTCTTCCAGATCCAGTGCAATCAGACCACTGGGACGCGGCCGTGAAAACTGTTCTAACGGCGTTTTCTTTACAGTGCCGTTAGCAGTTGCCATAAACACAAAATGATCCGATGCGTACTCCTTGACGGGCATGATCGCTGTGATGCGCTCTTCGGCGGCCAGCGGCAGAATGTTAATCATAGGACGGCCTTTTGCGCCCCGACTGCCCTGGGGAATCTGAAACGCTTTCAGCCAGTAAACCTTTCCTACATCAGAGAAACACAGGAGCTGATCGTGTGAGTTTGCGATAACCAGGTGTTCCACAAAATCTTCGTCTTTGACAGAGGTCGCGGCTTTACCAACACCACCACGGCGCTGCGCCTGGTACACATCCAGTGGCTGTGTTTTGCCATAGCCCTGGTGGGAAATAGTGACCACCAGCTCTTCTTCGTTGATTAGATCTTCTACCGAAAGATCCTGCTGGGTAGCGACGATCTCTGTCCGTCGCTCATCGCCGTAATTCTTTTTGATTTCATTCAGCTCATCACGGATAACCGACAGTAATCTTTCATGAGAACCGAGAATATCCATCAGATCAGCAATTTCATCCAGCACGCCTTTGTAATCTGCCATGAGCTTGTCTTGCTCCATGGCCGTTAAACGGTGCAGTCGAATCTCCAGAATGGCCTGAGCCTGTTCTTCGGTCAGACGATAAAGGTTATCGGTAAAACCGAAATCCTCGCTGAGACCGTCGGGGCGACAAGCGTCCGAGCCCACTTCCGCAAGCAGATCAAACAGAGCCTCGGCGACCCAACGTCGCTCCATCAGCGCTACCCTGGCGTCTGCTGCAGACGCGGAGCTTTTGATCAGCTCAATAACATCATCAATATTGGCAAGCGCTACCGCCTGACCTTCGAGGATATGACCCCGCTGACGCGCGCGACGCAAAAGATACAGGGTTCTGCGGGTCACCACTTCCTGGCGGTGCTGCAGGAACGCTTCAAGCATCTGTTTCAGATTCAGCAGCTTCGGCTGACCATCGACCAGCGCTACACAGTTGATGCCAAACACCTGTTGTAATTGGGTCTGGGTATAAAGGTTGTTCAAAACCACCTCACCGGAATCGCCGCGGCGAATTTCGATGACTACGCGTAAGCCGTCTTTATCTGACTCGTCACGCAGCTCGGTGATGCCTTCAATCTTTTTATCTTTGACCAGCTCAGCAATTTTCTCAATGAGCCTGGACTTGTTCAGCTGGTATGGAATCTCATGAATAATGATGCGGTCGCGGCCATTTTTCAGCTCCACGACTTCCGCACGTGCGCGCACGTAAATACGGCCACGACCTGTGCGATAGGCCTGCACAATACCTGCGCGGCCATTGATGATACCGGCGGTTGGAAAATCCGGCCCGGTGATGTGCTGCATCAGATCATCAATACTGGTGGCACTATCATCCAGCAGTACCAGCGTGGCATTGATCACTTCCGTAAGGTTGTGTGGCGGAATATTGGTGGCCATACCTACCGCAATACCGGAACTACCATTGACCAACAGGTTGGGTACACGGGTAGGCAAGACGACCGGCATCGTCAGGGTTTCGTCGTAGTTGGGCACAAAATCGACAGTGTCTTTGTCGAGATCCGCAAGCAGCTCGGAGGCCATTTTTGACATGCGGATTTCGGTGTAACGCATTGCCGCAGGCGGATCACCGTCTATTGAACCAAAATTACCCTGCCCGTCGACCAGCAGATAACGCATGGAAAAATCCTGCGCCATGCGTACCGCTGTCTCATACACAGCGCTGTCGCCATGGGGGTGATACTTACCGATGACCTCACCGACCACACGTGCAGACTTCACGTAGGGACGGTTATAGGTGTTATTGAGCTCACTCATGGCAAACAGAACACGTTTGTGAACCGGCTTCAAACCATCGCGAACGTCTGGTAAAGCGCGACCAACAATGACGCTCATTGCATAGGCCAGATAGGACTGGCGCAACTCGTCTTCGATGTTTACCGGGTGGATATCTTTATTGTTTTCTGAACCGATTTCCGACATGCAAAACTAGCGTGAATAAAAGGACGCGATTTTATCACGATTCACCGAAATGGGCTGTTTTTTATGAGATTTTTGGATGTCAGGAAAGTACCGCTATACTCCGTCGATGAAATCATGTGACCTCATCATCAGCGCCCCGTGGGTACTACCTGTTGCACCGGAAAATACCGCGTTAACCGACCATAGCGTGGCCATCAGCGGCAGCCGGATCGGCGATATCGGGCCCACCGACACCTTGCTGCAGAAATACCCGGATGCACAACACCTGGCACTGGATCACCACATCCTCCTGCCTGGCCTGATCAATACACATTGTCACAGCGCTATGACGCTGCTGCGCGGCGCTGGCGAAGACCAGCCGCTGAAAGCCTGGCTGGAAGAAACAATCTGGCCGCTGGAAGCTGCAGTGATGAATGACAACTACGTCACCCTGGGTACCCAGCTGGCGGTCGCGGAAATGCTGCTGAGCGGCACCACCACCTTCTCCGATATGTATTTCCTCCCTGAGAAAGTTGCCGAGGTCTGTGTCGACATCGGTATTCGCGCGCAACTTGCCTTTCCAATCATTGAATTTGCCAATGCCTGGAGCAAAAATGCTGATGACGCGCTGGACAAAGGTCTGGCACTGCACGAACAGCTTAAAGGTAACGGCCTGGTTCACGTGGCGCTTGGTCCACATTCCGGCTACAGCCTGAGCGCATCCGAACTTGAGCACGTCGCCCGGGTCGGGTTGGACCAGAATCTGCCGATCCAGATGCATATCCACGAGACAGCACAGGAAGTTGCTGACGCCCATCAATTGATGGGGCAAAGCTGGATTGAGCGCTGCGCCGATATAGGCATGCTGGGACCGCACGTGCAGGCAGTACACATGACACAAATCAGCGATACCGATCTCAAGCTGGTTGCAGATACCAATACACGTATTGTGCATTGCCCGACCTCCAACCTGAAACTGGCCTCAGGTTATTGCCCCACAACCGAGTTACGGCATGCAGGTGTCACCGTTTCCCTGGGTACAGACGGAGCCGCTTCGAACAATCGACTCAACCTGTTTGCGGAAGCGCGTATGGCCAGCCTGCTGGCGAAACACACAAACCAGAATGCTGCCGCTGCCAACGCCCAGGACATGTTGCACATGGCCACTCTGGGTGGTGCTCGCGCGCTGGGCATAGCAGACGTTACCGGCTCTCTTGAAGTGGGCAAAGCCGCAGACCTGATTGCAGTGGATATCAACAGCCTCGGCATGTTGCCGATGTACAATCCGTTTGCAGCGCTTATTCATGGCGATGCCGGAAATGCAATCAGCCATACCTACGTCGCAGGTAAAGCACTGGTCAAAGACGGCCAACTCACACAAAATTCCCTTACCAATTTGGCGCAACAGGTGCAGACCTGGCACTCTACACATCGCCCGATTTAACTGACAGTGACCCCATGAGTGAAAATGAAAACGTCGATCGTGACGAAATAGAGAAATTTGACGCCCTGGCTCACCGCTGGTGGGATCCCAACGGTGATTTTAAGCCGCTACATGATATCAACCCGAGTCGCGTACAGTACATCAGCGAGCGGAGCGATCTGCAGAGCGGTCCCGTTGTGGATATTGGCTGTGGTGGTGGCATTCTGACTGAATCCCTGGCTAATCTGGGCGCAGACGTCACCGGCGTTGATATGGCGGGCAAAGCCCTCAGCGTGGCGCGCCTGCACGCACTGGAAAGCGGCGTCGATGTCACTTACATAGAGGGTACAGCCGAGGCCCTGGCTCAGACCCACGCGGAACACTTCCATACGGTGACCTGTCTGGAAATGCTGGAACACGTGACCAGTTATGCATCCACAGTGGCGGCCTGTGCGGCGGTGACACAGCCCGGCGGCAACGTATTCTTCTCCACCATCAATCGCAATCCAAAAGCATACGCACTGCTGATTCTAGGCGCGGAATATGTACTGAACCTGTTGCCTCGAGGCACCCACGAATACGCTAAATTTATCAAACCGTCAGAGCTGTCATCAGCCATACGCGCTGCTGGCCTGGAAGTTGTGGACATCAGTGGCATGAGCTACAACCCGTTTACCCGGGCCTGCAATATCGGCCGCGATGTGGATGCAAATTATATTGTGCACGCCAGAAAGCCCCTGACCGACAACCCGTAACAGAAACTCGATATGAATGAATTGTTAGATAAACTGGGGGCGAGCTACCCGGCATTGGTGGCTGCTGCAGCCAGCTGGCGCTACCAGCCGGAACCGGAAATATTAGCCGGATGCAACATTCTGGTAACCGGCGCTGGCGCAGGGATCGGCGCGGCCGCGGCAAAATGTTTTGCCTGTTATGGCGCAAATGTGATTCTGCTGGGTCGCAGCCGCAACCACCTGGAAAGCGTGTTCGACTGGATTGAGACCCATACCAACACGCAACCTGTGATTGTGCCTTGTGATCTCGAACAGCTGGATGCCAGCGCAACCCACGCCCTGCACAGTGCTATTTCTGAAACCTACGGCGTGCTGCATGGCCTGCTGCACAACGCATCAAGACTCGGGCCTAAGGTACCGCTGGCCCATTACCCCATAGAGGAATGGCTGCGCGTCATGCAAACTAATGTAAATGCGCCTTTTATCCTGACCCATACGCTATTTGATCTGCTTGATGCCGCAGACGATGCCTGCGTTATCAACACTTCTTCTTCAGTGGGGCGGCAAGGTCGTGCCTACTGGGGTGCCTACGCGGTAAGCAAGTTTGCCACCGAGGGGTTCAGCCAGGTATTGGCTGACGAAACCGAGTCTGCTGGGCGTATCCGCGTCTACAGCGTCAATCCAGGCGGCACCCGCACCGCCATGCGCAAAGCCGCCTATCCGCTGGAAGACCCGGCGTCGCTACCCAGCCCGGAACAGCACATGGATCTATATCTGTATCTGATGGCCGGCAGACGCAGCGGCAAAACCTTGCCGGACACTGGCGCACAACTCGACGCACGAACCTGGAAGTGCCAATAAACCGTCTGGAAAACGTCAAAACGTTGACATGTTTTTTTGGCGCAAGCTCCTAACTCATTGATTTTATTGGCCACCAAAGCTGGCACAGTATTTGTACTGCGGTATTGAAAAAGCGTTTAACAGCAGCCTTACCCAAACCAGTAGTATGAGTTTTAAGAAGCGGATATGAGCAAAAATATTTCATCCAGATCAGCACGACTGAACGCACCCGGCAAACACCCGGAGTTTTTCGATGACCGCACCGCACTGCAGCTGACCCAGGCTTTCGGCCAGGAGGCAGAACTCGAACCGCTGCTTGCACTGCTTTTTGCACAGCAGCGGGCAACCGCTGAAGTGCGCGGACTACGCTATGTCTATCGACCTCTCGGGATAGATCTGAATTACGGCGAACGCGCCGACTACGAAGGTGAGTACAACCTGACTTTTCGCGACCTGCCGCTGGGCACGCTGACCCTGTATTTTGCCAATGGGCAGAATGAGCAGAGCATTCAAACCTGCGAAGATCTGGTGTCGCTCGCATTCACTTCCATCCGCAATGCGGTCACCACCCTGGAACTGCGCAACAAGCCCCAGGGTATCAATTCTGCCGAACGGGCAGCTCTGGCTACGGTCAACACGCCGCGCGAAAAGCACGACACAGCGCCGGGTTCATCGCAGAGCGGCGAGGCCAGACATGATGCGCTGATTCTGCTGGGTCTGGATCACTTTCCAACTATCCAGAGTCGAGACGGTGAAGAATGGGCGCAGGTGTTGATGTCCAGCGTGCACGAACAGATTCGCGAGGGGCTGCGCAGCGCAGACGGTGTATACCACATTGGTGATGATCTTATTGCGGTGCTGTTACCCAACACCAGTTCAGAACAGGCGGAACAGGTAGCCAAAAAGATACGTACGCTGGTTGCCAGCCTGCATCTGCGTGGAGATCCTAAAACGGAACAGCTGACAGCGTGTATGGGGTTGGCTGACGCTACCCACGCAAAAACGGCAGAAGATGTGATGAGCCACGCCCAATGTGCCCTGGCGGCGGCCCGAGCACAGGGCAGTAATCAGATTCTCTATTATCAGCCAGAACTGGCGGAGACTCAGCCTTTTAAGTCCGGGTAAGGCAACAGGCAGGTGGTTTTAGCTACGCGGGCGCGCCTTGTCTGAGACTGCCCTTTCTGCGGACCGCGATACTTGAGACCCAACATCTTGTATAAGGTTCGAAGATCTTCCGGCTGCAACAAAGCCCACTGACGGTTACGTAACCAGGACGGCAGAACAACAGGTCCGTAGCGCACCCGCTTGAGCCTGCTGACCACACAGCCGACACTTTCAAACAGACGTCGTACTTCGCGGTTTTTGCCTTCCATCAGTACCACGTGGTACCAATGATTGCGATTGCCTCCATTAAAATAGCGTATATCGCTGAAGCGCATCAGCTCACCATCAACTTCGACGCCTGCGCGCAATCGAGCCAGAACATCATCCTCGAGTTCGGCGTTAATACGCACAGCGTATTCCCGGTCAAGGCCGGTCGAAGGGTGCATGAGCTTATGCGCCAGAGATCCATCGTTGGTCAACAACAGCAAACCCGTGGTTTGCATATCAAGGCGACCTATGCTGATCCAGCGACTACCGCGCAGATTAGGCAGACTGTCAAAAACCGTGGGGCGACCCTCTTCATCTCGGCGCGAGCAAACCACACCTGACGCCTTGTTCATGATGATGACTTCCGGATTGGTCTGCGCATTCAAGCTTACCAACGCCCCATCAAACATGATGCGATCCGCTGTTGTGACACGCTGGCCAACATGGGCTATCTCATCATTAACGGATACACGCCCCGCTTCGATCCAACCTTCAATCTGACGACGCGAACCGATACCAGCGGCCGCTAGAATCTTATGTATTTTTTCAGGCACCAGGGGCGCTTGATCGGGTTGTTGCGGTTTACGTGACACCTATGCAGCCTTATTAGTTAGAAGGGCCGACGCCGGAGTGTAACTGCACCACATCAGCAGACTCAGGATCGCTTGCCGCCTGGTCACTTGTCTCAACATCTCCAGCTTCATCACTGTTGCTGGCTGCATCAACATCCGCCACCGAATCACCAGTCTCAGCATCTTCCGTTGCCTGCACCGCGACCGTAATGGTTTCGTCTTCCACCACCAGCGCAGGTTCTATCAGCGCGCGAATTTCCGCCAACGGTGGCAGGTCTGTCAGCGATTGCAGATTAAAATAATCCAAAAACGTTTTTGTTGTGCCGTACAACGATGGTCGGCCAGGGACTTCCCGCTGACCCACAACGCGGATCCAATCGCGCTCGACCAGGGTGCGCATAATATTCTGACTGACGCTGACGCCACGCACCTGCTCTATGTCACCTCGTGTGACGGGTTGCTTATAAGCCACCAGTGCAAGCGTCTCCAGCAAAGCCCGGGTATACCGAGGAGGCTTCTCATCCCACAGACGGCGCACCCAGTCACTTAAATCCTGGCGTACCTGATAACGATAACCGGATGCGACGCGTTTCAGTTCTACACCTCGTTCAGCGCTCTCTTCCTGCAGTGCCTTCAGCGCATCGCGCACCTGTTTTGTGGCATTTTCCTCATCCAGTTCGCCAGGCGCGAACAGCTTGGTTAAGTTGGCAACCGTCAATGGTCCATCTGAAGCCAGCAGAGCCGCTTCTATAATGCGTTGTATTTGCGCCTCATCCATTTAGCTGTCCTCGTCGCTGTCTTCATCTTGGTCGACTTCAATAGCTTCGTCCGAATCTGCTTCGCCGCCATAATTAGTATTGAACACCGGAGCGTGATCAACCACTCCGGATGCGCCACGCACATGAATCGGCGCAAACGCTTCAGTTTGAACAAATTCAACCAACGCCTCACGCACCAGCTCCATGATGGCAAGGAAGGTCACGATCACACCCATGCGACCTTCAGAAGGCTTAAATAATTCGCCGAAATCTACAAAACCATCCTGAGAGTTAACCAGTGCCAGCACATCACCCATACGTTCACGGACGGATAATGGTTCGAACTTCACTTCGTGCTTCTGGAACATCTCTGCCCGACGCAGCACAGCTGCCAGCGCGGTCAGAACCTCTTTGAGATCAACTTCCGGGTCTGCATGTTGTCTTACCAGGTCAGGTTTGCTCGCCGCCACATCAAAGATGTCCCGCTCTATGCGCGGCAATTCATCAATACCTTCTGCAGCGGTTTTAATCTGCTCGTATTCCTGCAGACGGCGTATCAGCTCCGCGCGTGGGTCACCTTCCTCTTCTTCAAGGGATTCCGGACGAGGCAGCAACATGCGGGATTTGATTTCAGCAAGCATCGCGGCCATGAGCAGGTATTCGCCTGCAAGTTCGAGCTGCAACGCCTGCATGAGATCAATATAACCCATGTACTGACGGGTGATCTCTGCGACCTTGATATTCAGGATATCCAGATTCTGCCGGCGAATCAGGTACAACAGCAGATCCAACGGTCCTTCGAAGGTTTCCAGAAAAACTTCTAACGCTTCGGGCGGAATATATAAATCGGTAGGCAGTTGCGTAACTGCCTCTCCTCGAACAAGCGCTATTGTCGCGCTGTCTGCGGAGCGTGCCTGTTCCAACTGACCAACGGTTTCGTTCATATGGTTCTCACTGTCGCCAACACTATCCGTTGGATTAACGATGACTGATGCCTATCGCTTCTTTGACGTCGTCCAGCGTTTCACGAGCAAGGTTACGTGCTTTCTCAGAGCCTTCCGCAAGAATCGCATGCACCAGATCAGGTTCTTCTTCAAATTGCTGGGCACGTTGTCGGTAGATGAGCTGTTCTTCATTAATCGCATCAATCAGCGGTTTTTTACAGTCGACGCAGCCAATACCTGCACTGCGACAACCTTGCGTGGCCCACTTGCGCACTTCCTCAGTCGAATAGACTTCGTGCAGCGCAAACACCGGACAATTTTCCGGCTCACCCGGATCCGAGCGGCGTACACGTGCAGGGTCTGTCTGCATAGTGCGAATTTTTGCTTCAACCGAGTCAGGCTCTTCCCGCAACGAAATATAATTGTTGTAAGACTTGGACATCTTTTCACCATCCAGGCCAGGCATCTTTGCCGTCTTCGTCAGCAAGGACTGTGGTTCCGGCAGAATGATGCGACCACCGCCTTCCAGATAGCCAAACAAACGCTCGCGATCACCGATAGACAGATTCTGTTGCTCAGCCAGCAATGCACGCGCGCGCTCCAGGGCTTCGCCATCACCTTTTTCCAGGTACTCTTTGCGCAAGTTGCCATACATGCGAGCAGCTTTTTTGCTCATTTTTTTGACCGCAGCTTCCGCGGCATCTTCAAAGCCAGGTTCACGACCGTAAATATGGTTAAACCGCCGCGCCACTTCCCGGGTAAGCTCCACATGTGCCACCTGATCCGCGCCGACAGGCACCCAACCGGCCCGGTACACCAGAATATCTGCAGCCTGTAACAGCGGATAACCAAGGAAACCGTAGGTGGCCAGATCCCGGTCAGAGAGTTTCTGCTGCTGATCTTTAAAGCTGGGTACGCGCTCAAGCCAGGAGATGGGTGTGATCATCGACAACAGCAGATGCAGTTCCGCATGTTCCGGCACCCGACTCTGCACAAATATCGTGGCCGTGCCGGGATTAACACCTGCAGCCAACCAATCGACAACAGTGTCGAATGTGTACTGCTCGATGTTCTGCGACTCTTCGTAATCTGTGGTCAGCGCGTGGAAGTCAGCCACAAAAAAGAAGCACTCGTATTCGTGCTGCAGTTGAACCCAGTTTTTTAACACACCGTGCAGGTGCCCTAAGTGAAGACGTCCCGTGGGACGCATGCCAGAGAGCACCCTCTGGTTAGAATCATTACTGCTCAAGCGAGCCCTTTATATTTGTGTAAGTATTGTCGGGCGCCATTATAGGCGTGTGATGAGCAAGTGTCCTCTAATGAATAAAACGTTACGTTGAGCATGACGGTTTATTCATTAGAGGACACTATATTGCATCCAACTCTCCCTTTCCCTGACGCACTAATTGCGGCACATCTTCAGTGAGATCGATAACGGTGCTTTCTTCCAGGCCACAGGCGCCGGCGTCAATGATGACATCAAGCTGTTTGCCCAGCCGTTCTGCGATGTCTTCACCATCCATAAACAGGGCTTGTTCCTCTCCATCATCATCGGGCAGGCGCAGCGTTGTGGTCATAATCGGCTCACCCATAAGTTCCAGCAGCATCTGCGCAACCGGATGATCCGGCACGCGAATGCCGATGGTACGCCGCTTCTCATGCACCAGACGCTTGGGGACTTCTTTTGAAGCGCGCAGAATAAAGGTGAACGGCCCCGGGGTAGCCCGCTTCAGCAGCCGGTAACTGGAATTGTCGACACGAGCATAAACGCCAAGCTCACTGAGATCGCGACAGGCCAGCGTAAACTGATGATTCTTGCGCAGCCGTCGCAATGCAATAATCCGATCCAGCGCCCGTTTGTCGCCGATATGGCACGCCAGCGCATACGATGTATCGGTGGGATACGCTACCAGGCCACCATCAGCAAGGGCTTGGGCTGCAACTTGCAGCAATCGACGTTGCGGATTTTCAGGGTGTACGTGCAGCAGTTGGCTCAACGGTGTCTCTTCTTACGCTATTCTTTTATTATCCGCGCCAAACCCAGGTTTCAACGCACGGCTCGAAACGAACCGCCAAGGATAAACTTTTTTTATGCAACAGCTACTTGATTACGCCGCGATCCTTGCCTTTGTGGTGGTTTATTTTATCACCCGGGACATTTTCCTGGCCACCGCGGTGCTGATGGGTGGCGTCACCCTGCAGGTTGTGGGCTATCTGCTGATGAAAAAACCCATTGGCAATGAGCTGAAAGTGACCTTTGTAGCCAGCATGTTGCTCGGTGGGATGACACTGATTCTACGCGACGAAACCTTTATTCAATGGAAACCCAGCATCGTCAACGCCATTCTGGCGCTGACACTGGTGGGTGGCCACCTGATCGGCAAGACCTTTTTCATCAAGAAAATGCTCGGCCAGGTCCTCCATCTGCCTGACAGTGCCTGGTTTACCCTGACTTACGGCTGGGCATTGGGCTTCACCCTCGCCGGTGCGCTGAATTTGTGGGTGGCTTATAACTTCGACATGGATACCTGGGTGACTTTTCGCTTCGCTGGACTGCTGATGATCAACATCAGCATGTTGATCGCCACCTTCACCTATCTGTACGCTAAAGGTCTGCTTAATGAAGACAATCTGCCGGACCCGAAAGCGCCAAAAAGCGAAGACAAACCTTGATCATCCCAGTAGCTGCACCTTGCGTGTCACTTTCATAACGGATCTTTTATGCAAGACTCACAGACTCCAATGACCACTCTGTTCCTTGTGGCGTTCAGCACCATCATGCTGTTCACCGCGTCAGCGGCTCAGGCCCGTACCGTCTATATCTCTGATGAACTGACCGTGCCGTTACGCAGCGGACCATCAAGCGGACACCGGATCCTGCACCGCGGTTTACCCAGCGGCACCCAGATGGAAGTACTGGAAGTTGATGAAGGCGCCGGCTTCAGCCGCATCAGAACCAGCCGCGGCACCGAAGGTTGGATCCGCAGCCAGTATCTGGTCAGCGAACCCATCGCAAAACTGAAACTGGCCGCGGCACAACGCGCCATGAACAATGCCCAGGCCGCTCTGGCAGCTGAACAGGCTAAAGTAAAAGAATTGACCGCCAGCAACCGTGAACGCGGCAGCACCAATTCAGCCTACGAAAAGCGCATCGCTGAGCTGGAAACCGAGTTAGCTGAAATCACACGCATCTCCGCTGGCGCGATAGAAACCAACGCAGAAAACATCAAACTGCAGGAAGTGAACGCCCGTCTGCAGGATGAACTGGATGACATCGCCCAGAGCCGCGCTCAGCTGGAGGACAATACCTTTAACGAAGCCCTGATGATTGGCGGAGGCCTGTTGTTTCTCGGCCTGATCGCCGGGGTTCTGATCAAAGCCCGGCCACACCGCAGCGCCTGGAGCTAAGGCCAATCCGATGACAGTACTGAGCGTCAACCTGAACAAAATCGCGCTTTTACGCAACGCCCGGGAAGGCGCAAGGCCCAGTGTGGTTGAAGCCGCAAGAGTAGCCCTGGCAGCGGGTGCAAAAGGCATTACGGTGCATCCCCGACCTGACCAGCGACACATACGCACCACTGACGTGTATGCCCTGGCTGAGCTGCTGGCCAGCGAATATCCGGGCATTGAATTCAATATTGAAGGCAACCCCATGGCGAATGCCAATGCGGGCGGTTATCCTGGCCTGGATGCACTGATAGAGAGGACCAGACCCGCGCAGGCGACTCTGGTGCCCGACAGCGACAACCAGCTCACTTCGGACCACGGCTGGAACCTGACCACATTCAACAGCAAATTGGCGGACAAAATCGCGCTGTACCAGTCTTATGGTGCGCGTGTCAGCCTGTTTATGGATCCCGATATCCCGCAGATTCAGCAGGCCCAGGCACATGGTGCGCAGCGTATTGAGCTGTATACGGGTCCATTTGCTGACCTGTACAGCGAACACGGCGCAGACAGTGAGGCGGTACAGAACAGCTTTCAGAGTTATCTCGGCGCCGCCCGCTATGCCAATCAGATTGGCCTCGGCGTCAACGCAGGCCATGATCTGGACTTACACAATCTGACGCTGTTCAAACAGATTACCGAAGTAGCAGAAGTGTCAATTGGCCACGCTTTAATTTGTGATGCGCTTGAAATGGGGCTGTCCGCCAGTGTAACGGCCTATGTCAAAGCACTCGCCTAACACCAAACCCTCCGCTAACATGCGCGCCATGAATATCTATCACTACTGCAGAACTTTAATCATTGCACTGGTTGTCAGCACCGCAACGCTGGGCGCCTACGCAGAAAATCCACGCGTCGCCATCGATACCAACTTCGGCGTCATTGAAGTTGAACTGACACCTACTCTGGCACCACGCACCGTCGAGAACTTCCTTGCTCTGGTAGACGACGAATTTTATACCGGCCTGGTGTTTCATCGCGTGATAGCGAACTTCATGATTCAGGGGGGTGGCTACAATGCAGACCTGCAATATAAATCAACCACAAAAACAGTACCCAACGAATCTTTTAACGGCGTTAAAAACACCCGTGGCACCATCGCCATGGCACGGTTAAACGATCCGGATTCTGCAAATTCACAGTTTTTCATCAACGTTGCTGATAATCCGAACCTGAATGCTGACGGTACCAAGGCCGGTTATACCGTATTTGGCAAGGTATCAGCTGGTATGGATGTGGTGGACGCCATTGAATTAGTGAATACCCACCTGCGCCGGGGTATGGCCGCAGTTCCCGAAGAACCAGTTATCATTAACACCATTACGCGCGTTGAGTAAATTCTGATTTTCTAAGCTGGATTTACAAACCCCACGGCGCATCTTTTATGGGGTAGAATGCGGCGCTTTTTCATCCATAAGATCTAACATGCCTACATTACTTATCGCCGCAGCCAGCGCGGCTCTGCTGGCTGCTCTCGTCACAGAATTGTCTCAACGTTTCTGGTCCGACAGCTACATCGCTCTGCTTGTCATTACTTTTATCGCGTTATTGATCAACGGCTTGTTCAACGCGCGACTGCGCCAGAACGCCAGTCAATCAACATCCGCCCGAGCGCAACCCCAACGCCAGAATGAGCGCAAAAAACCCACCAATGACAGGGATAAGCGTAGCGCCAGCGAGCGGCCGTCCGGTGAACGTAAAAAACCCGCACGTGACCCCAAGCCACAGCGCAACGACAGCAATCGACAGGCTAACCGCGGTGATCGCGATAGCGGCGAACCTGCCCGGGAAGTCAGCCAGGCCACAGGGCCGGTGGAAAACGGCACGGTTAAGTGGTTCAACCGTTCCAAGGGATACGGTTTTATCGTTCGCGAGAATGGCGAGGAAATCTTCGTGCACCAGCGCTCAATTGCCAGCGATGGTGATCGCAATCAACGTCCTGTACTGAATGACGGCCAGCAAGTCAGTTTTGTAGTCTCACATCAGGAAAAAGGCGCCCAGGCTGAACAGGTTAAAACCCTCGACTAGAGCCGCATCCATATGCAGATAAAAGCCCAGCTCAGCCATGCAATTGAGGCCGCCTTCAACACTCTGGGGCTGGTCGGGCCTGCACTGGTGCAGACTTCCAGCAGACCGGAGTTGGGCGATTATCAGGCCAACGGGGTGATGGCGGCAGCCAAGCGAGCGCAGCGTAATCCGCGCGAAGTGGCTGCTGAGGTTATTGAAGTCCTGGATCTGAAAGGTATTGCCAGCACTGTCGATATCGCCGGTCCCGGTTTTCTCAACATTACCCTGGCCGCAGATTTTCTTGCCGGTGTTACCGCCGGCGAAATCACAGCCAGCCCGGCGCCACAGCGGGTTGTTGTTGATTACTCTGCCCCGAACCTGGCCAAAGAAATGCATGTCGGTCACTTGCGCTCAACCATCATCGGCGATTGTATCGTTCGCGTGCTGGAAGCTCAGGGCCACACCGTTTTACGACAGAATCACGTTGGCGATTGGGGTACCCAGTTCGGCATGTTGCTGACCTACCTGCAGGACACAGGCGCAAATTCTGATTCCCTGGCCTACCTCGAAGACTTCTACCGCGCAGCAAAAACGCGTTTCGATGAAGATGAGGATTTTCAACAACGCGCGCGCCAGGCTGTGGTGGACCTGCAGGCAGGCGATGCCCACGCGTTGGACATGTGGCAGCATTTCATCACCGTATCCATGTCTCACTGTCAGGAAATTTACGACCGGCTCGACGTGACGCTCAACCCGACTCACATCCAGGGTGAAAGTGCGTACAACGATGCGCTGCCCGGCATCATCCAACAGCTTAATGACAAAGGCCTTTTGACGCAGTCCGAAGGTGCGCAGTGTGTGTTCCTGGAGGAATTCAAAACCAAGAAAGGCGAGACCCTGCCGGTTATCGTGCAGAAAACCGATGGTGGATACCTCTACGCCACCACCGACCTGGCAGCGATCGCGTATCGTAACAAAGAACTCAACGCAGAGCGGGTGCTGTATTTCACCGACGCACGCCAGGCACTACACTTCAAACAGATATTTGCCGTTGCCCGGGCGGCTGGATTTGCCGATTCGAGTATCAGCCTGGAACACATGCCGTTTGGCGCCATGCTGGGCGACGATGGCAAACCGTTTAAAACCCGCGCGGGCACCGTGGTGAAGCTGGCTGAATTACTCGACGAGGCAGAACTACGCGCCACCCGACTGGTAAGCAGCAAAAACCCTGACCTTGACGACAAAACCGCGGCGGAGCTGGGTCATGTCATTGGCATAGGTGCAGTGAAATATGCTGACCTGTCGAAAAATCGTACCAGTGACTACGTGTTCAACTGGGAACAGATGATCAGTTTCGAAGGCAACACTTCACCTTATCTGCAATATGCCTATACCCGCATTGCCAGCATCTTTGCCAAGGGTCAGATTGATCTCAGCACCCTGCCCATGCAGGCAATCGCGGTTGAAGAACCGGAGCGGCGGCTGGCGGTAATGATTGCGAGTTTCAACGATACCCTCGATGCCGTGGCAAGCGAAGGCATGCCACATCTGTTGTGTGGTTATCTGTATGAACTGGCAACGCGTTTCACCAGCTTCTACGAAGCCTGCCCGATTCTTACCAGCAGTGCTGATGTACGCGAACGACGCCTGGTGCTGGCAAAACAGACCGCCGACACGCTGCGGAACGGCCTTGATCTGCTGGGTATTGGTGTTGTCGAACAGATGTGAGGCGCTAACCGCCTGACGAACACTGACGACATGGGTTGCTGGAGAGCGGCTTTGATCTGAAGCGCCGCAGAAACCACCACAGCGGTTTCGACGACACTCTGATCAGATTTCAGCAGGGGCGGATTACGCAGTCGCAGCCTGCGGGGTAGCGTAAGACTTCAGCGTCTGGGCAAAATTTTCCAGACTCTGCAAGCCGGACGCTTCTGCCTCTTTACACCATTCGCTGAGCGCATGAATCACTTCATCCATGTTGCCACCACGCTTGGCCCAGATCTCCTGGAGACGTTGATGCAGGTCATGAATGACTCTGATCTCCGGACTGGTTTCGACAACGGCGGAAATGCGATCGCGCCCGCTATCATTAACCAGCAGAGGCTGACGCACCATCAGACGGCGCGCTCGTTTGATCAACTTGCGCGAAGCGGTGTCCGCTTTGCGGTATTCCTGCGCCATGACAGGTTTAACCACTTCTTTAGAGTAACGGGCCATGACGTGGAAGCGGTCGTTCAACAAAGCCAGGACTGCGTCTTTATCCAGTACATTTTTCTCTGGCACACGTTCTACAACAGGACCGGTGCTGATGACCTTGGCAAGACCTAACATCTCAAATAAGCGGATCCACATCCAGCCGATGTCAAACTCGTACCACTTCGCTGAAAGCTTGGCTGAGTTTGGATAGGTGTGGTGATTATTATGCAACTCTTCTCCTCCAATCAGGATGCCCCAGGGTGAGATGTTGCGGGCTGCGTCGGGACATTCAAAGTTACGATAGCCCCACCAGTGGCCAATGCCATTAATCACGCCTGCAGCAAACAACGGAATCCACACCATCTGCACGGCCCAGATGGTTAAACCCAGCGCACCAAACAGAGAGATATTGATAATCGCCAGTGCGGTGATACCGCCGGTGGTATATTTTTCATAAACATTGCGCTCGATCCAATCGTCAGGACAACCGCGGCCATATTTGGCCAGAGTTTCTTCGTTGGTCGCTTCGATACGGTAGTTCTCAACCCCGCGCCAGAAGATTTCGCCGATGCCTTTAACAACAGGGCTGTGTGGATCTTCCTCTGTTTCACATTTGGCGTGGTGTTTACGATGCACCGCCGTCCACTGGCGAGTACCCATGCCTGTGGTGAACCACAGCCAGGCACGGAAAAAATGTTTCAGCACAGGGTGCAATTCCAGCGCGCGGTGCGCGGAGTGGCGGTGCAGAAATACGGTGACCGCAACAATCGTAATGTGTGTCACAACCAGTGTGTAAATGACTAACTCGGTGACAGACAGGTTGAGTAAGCCATGACTCAGGAAATCCAGAATGCTCAAAGCAAATGCTCCTTACAGGTGCGCAGATGGTGATCAGAGTTCCGCATTGTAGGCATTGCGTAACCGTTAAGCCACCTTGCGAAAACAGTCAACAATAGTGTAGACGGCATCGCCAGATGACAGTGTGTCCTAGTACTATGTTGTGAACTCTGGCCAAGCCCAACGGACACCATGCCTCAATACACAACTCTTATAACATCAGCGGAATTGGCCGAAGTTGAAAATCATTGCCTGGTGTTCGATTGTCGGGCTCAACTTGGAGATGTTAATTGGGGCAGGCAGGCTTATTTGCAAGGCCATATTACCGGCGCGTATTACCTCAACCTGGATGAAGACCTGGCGGATCCGCCAAACGAGGCTGGCCGACATCCACTCCCGGATATTGCGCGCTGGCGCGCCCGTGTCGGTCAACTGGGCCTGCAGCCTGAGCAACAGGTGGTGGTTTACGACGACGCCACAGGTGCTTACGCTGCCCGGGCCTGGTGGATGTTTCGCTGGCTTGGGCACAGCAACGTAGCCGTGCTGGATGGTGGTCTTAAACATTGGCAACAAACTCTCGAGCAAGCCCTGCCGGCACCCCTGGCGCCCACGGTCTACCCTGTCCTGGCACCACTGACGCGCCTTATTGCAACCGGTGAATTGCACCAAAGACTGGACACACTTAAACCGGGCCAGTTGATTGATGCCCGCACCCGGGCGCGCTGGGCGGGTCTGGAAGAGCCCATTGACCCCGTCGCAGGTCATATCCCAAAAGCCATCTGCCTGCCATTCCAGGACAATCTCAGCCCAGATGGCTGCTTCAAGTCCTCCGCAGATCTGGCAGCCCGTTTTGCCAACATTGCTGACAATCCCATCTGCTACTGTGGTTCTGGCGTCACCGCTGCACACAACCTGCTGGCGATGCGGGTTGCTGGCCTGGCCGAACCTGCGTTGTACGCAGACTCCTGGAGTGGCTGGATCACGGATACTGCAAGGCCTGTGGCAACAGACATTTGATGATCATCCCCGCTGCCGAGATCCGCTGGCACGGCGCCCAGGCGGAAGCCACCGGTTATAACGACATCTATTTCCGCGATGACGCTCTCGCCGAGGCTGAACAGATCTTCATCCAGCCGGGCCGGATCGTGCCCAAGGCTGCGGCTGCCGAAACAATCTGCATCGGTGAGCTTGGCTTTGGCATGGGGACAAATTTTATCGCCGCGGCCACCGCAGTACTGCAGCACAGTAGTGCCCATCTGCGGTACGTTGCCATTGAGAAACACCCGTTAAGTCCCGCGGACTGGCAACAGGTCGCGATCCGCGCTCAACACCACAAACCACTCTATCGCGCACTCACCGAGCCGGTGTTGCCGCTCCTGGCTGGTTGGCACGAACGGGTTTTTGCTGCGGGCCGAATCACTTTGACGGTGTTTCACGGCGATGTTGTTGACGGTTTAGAGGCGCTTGTCCAACAACAACACAACCCGGTGGATGCATGGTTTCTTGATGGCTTTACACCCGCCAAGAACCCACAAATGTGGACCCCGCAGATTTACTCAGCACTTGCGCAATTATCAGCCCGGAACACCTCGGTCGCCTCGTTTACAGCTGCCGGGCACGTCCGGCGGGGCCTGCAGGCAGCGGGCTTTGAGATCGAACGACTGGATCAGAGCCCACACAAACATCACAGCCTGGCCGGTTACTACCTACATGACGGCCGTCAGCGTCTTCCCGCGCCGAGCCAGGTCACCGTTCATGGCCAGGGCATAGGTGGCGCCAGCGTTGCACGCAGGCTGGCAGAATCAGGTATATCCGTGCGCGTTCTGGACCCCGCACCGCAAAACAGCGCATCCGCGCGGATCAAAGCCGCGGTGATGCATGCCCGCCTGCTCGGCGATGGCAGTCCAAGTGCTGTATTTCGACACTCAAGTTTTCACTACACCACGGCCTATCTGCAGGCTTTCAGCGGGTTTGCACGCACCGGTGTCCTGCAACTGCAGGGTCCCAACATGAATGCAAAGAAACTGCAGCGCATCACCGCCGCTTATGGTGACAACCATGAACATCAGCAGCACTGGCTACAGCAACTGTCTGCTACACAAGCCGCGCAATTAAGTGGCGCGGCTATCGATGCCGATGCACTGTACTTTCCCAGCGCCGGGGTTGTTGACCTGCCAACACTGTGCCAGGCACTGCTGCACCACCCAAATATCCGTCAGGACAGCTCAGAAGGGTCAGCAAAACCTGGCCCGTTTGATCCCAAGCGCATAAATATTCTTTGCAGCGCCGGCGGCACCCGTGCTTTTCCAGGCTGTGATCATCTTGAAATCAGCGAAGTTTACGGTCAGCTGGATCAGTTCAAAACCGCTGCCCGGCTCAGCAATGTACCTGTCGTCGGCAATGGTTATCTGGTGCCCGATGACGAGGGTGTTGTACTTGGTGCGTCTTATGAATACAGCCCATGGTCCCAGGACAAAGCGCGCAGTCACAATCTGCAGGCCAATCAACACCTCATGCCGGATGCCGAGCTCACCTGGCAACACAGTCAACGCGCAGCACGTGCCACAAGCAGCGACAGAATGCCGATTATCGGTCGCCTGTCAGGTCCAACAGAGATGTGGCTGGCAACGGCTTTCGGATCCATGGGCACCACCGCCGCTCCACTGGCAGCGGCCATGGTAACCAATCAGATTCTAGGCTGGAGCAGCGGTGTGAGTATTGAGGTGGAAGAACTCACTGACCCCAATCGTTTTGCCCGGCGCCAGGCGCGCCGGGGTATCAGACACCGCTGAGCATAAGCTGCAACGAACGCTCAGCTGTCTGCGGTGAGCACACGCACATTAATGACAGAGTCAATGGCACTGATTGCATTGATCAAACCCTGATCGGGTTGCGCGGCTAAATCGATCAGGTTGTAGGCGACGTCGTCCCGGCTTTTGTTGATCAGATCGATAACATTGATGTCACGTTCTGCCAGCACGGAGGTCATTTTACCCAGCGTGCCGGTAACATTCCGGTTAGTCACCGCGATGCGATAACCGTCCACCCGTTCAAGACTGACTGGCGGGAAATTCACTGAGTTAGTGATACTGCCGGTTTCCAGAAAACGCATCAGCTGATCTGCTGCCATGACAGCGCAGTTTTCTTCCGCTTCAGCGGTACTGGCGCCCAGGTGTGGGGTCAACATGACGCGGTCGTGGTCAATCAATCCCGGTACCGGGAAATCAGCCACATAGCGACCGATCTGACCGTTCTCCAGGCCTTTCGCCAAAGCCTGGGTATCGACAATGGGTTGGCGGGCAAAATTGAGCAGCACGCTGCCGGGTTTGAATGCCTCCAAAGCTGCAGCATTGATCATGCCTTCGGTGGCGGGCAACAACGGCACGTGCAGGGTGACGTAATCTGCCTGAGCAAACAGGCTGGGCAGATTTTCCATCCGCTCAACTTCAGCAGGCACACGCCATGCGGCGTCTACCGACAGCGCCGGATCATAGCCCAGCACTCGCATGCCCAGATCCAAAGCAGCCCGTGCAACCATGCTGCCGATGGCACCCAGACCCACTACGCCGAGGCTTTTGCCAATCAGTTCACGGCCTTTAAAACGCTTCTTTTCCGCTTCGACCAGCTTATTGAGCTCGACTTCATCGGTGACTGACGCCAGAGAGCGTACATAGCTGATGCCACCGTATACATCGCGAGAAGCCAGCAGCAACGCTGTCAGCACCAGCTCTTTTACCGAGTTGGCGTTCGCGCCAGGTGTGTTGAAAACAACAATACCGCGATCAGAACACGCCTCTACAGGCACATTGTTCACGCCAGCCCCGGCACGGGCAATGGCCAACAAACCATCGCTGAGTTCATCTACTGCCAGCTTATGGCTGCGCAGCAACAATGCGTCAGGCGAAGTAATATCAGCGCCGACACTGTATTTGTCGGTGTTAAAGCGATCCAGACCGGTGGCGGCAATGGCGTTGTAGGTGCGAACGTTGTACATGATAAAGTGGGTTTGTGAGAGAGGCGCGCAAGGTAGGCATGCAGCCATAGAAAGTCAAGAAGCGGACTGTAAGCCTATTGCAGAAGTGATCTCCCGGGCAATTGCCGGCGCCGCCTGTGGATGTTCAAAGCGTGCCAGCGACGCTGCAAACGCATCGCGATTTTCCTCTATCTGATTCAACGCCGTCAGCAGCGTCTGCGGGTTCAGATCTGCCTCCGACAGGACAACGCTATAGCCCGCCTCGGCCGCAACACGTGCATTGTCGATCTGGTCTCCGCGAGAGGCCTTAGCCGACAGGGGCACCAGCACGTTCAACTTGCGCAGCGACAACAGTTCAAACAGCGCATTGGCTCCCGCCCTGGACAGGACCACAGCTGCAGCCGCAAGCAGATCACCCCAGCCTTCATCGATATATTCGCGCTGAACATAACCTGGCATGTCCAAAGCTTGCCGCTTACCCGGACCACACACATGCAGTACCACATAACGCTGGGTTAACTCGGACAGGGCCGCGCGTATGACAGCGTTGAGCGCATCAGCGCCAAGACTGCCTCCGGTGACAATCAGCAGAGGCTTATCGGCATCGGTCAGGCCGAGCAACTGACGTCCTCGACTGGCTTCACCTGAGGTGATTTCATCGCGCAGCGGCGTTCCTGTAACCACCACCTGAGTGCTGCCCAGCTGGTCACCACTGACCTTTTTGGTCTGTGCAAAACTAACGCACAGGGTTTTCACAAAGGGCAGCACCAATCGATTCGCCAGACCAGGGGTCAGATCCGATTCATGGGCTACCACCGGCACGCGCCAGAGCCAGGCCGCCAGCGCCACCGGGAACGATACAAAGCCGCCTTTCGAAAACACCACATCGGGTTTCAACCGTCGGATCAAGAGCAGCGCCTGGACGATGCCCAGCGCAATACGAAACAAATCAGTAAAGTTCTGCCACGACCAGTAACGACGCAGCTTGCCTGCAGAGACGGCATAAAATGCCACCCCACTGGACCCGGTGAGCTGTTCTTCAAGCCCGGAATCTGTCCCCACAAACGAGACCTGTAAACCTTGCTGCTGCAGAAGTTCAATGACCGGTAGCGCGGGGATGACATGCCCTGCCGAGCCACCACCAACCACCAGCACGTGGCGAGGCAAAGAAGGATCCGGGTTGACCATCAATACCCCAGCACCTGTTTCAACAGGGGGATGGTTACCGGCGATTTTTTCACCAGGCTGGCTTTGTCGAGGGTCTCCAGGTCGGTTAACAGCGCGCCCAGACTGCGCGGCCCGCGTGCCAGCCAGTAGTCCAGCACCGGCTGCTGCAGCGCATAGCCGCGTTGATGCGCGCGCTGTTTTAAAAGGTGCACCTTGGCCGCATCATCCAATGGCACAATCTGATAGTGCTGCAGACTGCGCATCCGCGACGTCAGGTCCGGCGTGAGAAAGTCAACCTGGGCTGAACTTGTAGTGTGTGTCACGAGCAGGACCCCGCGCTCGTTGAGTACCCGCTGATAGATCACCATCACCGCATCGTGCATCTCCTGCTGGCGCGGCAGATGATGCAGATCATCCAGCGCAACAACCTGGCCGTGAACACCCGCATACTCAAGGGCGGCCAACAGGCCACCGGGGTTATGTTCGTAATCAGCACAATTGACGTAACAGGCTGATTCACCGAACTCTATGGCGCGCAGACAACGCCCGCGCAGAAGGTGGCTGCGACCGGAACTCGCCTCCCCGTAGACCCACAGCCCCACAAACCCCCGTGCAGAGGCACGTAAAACCTGCAGCAGCTCTTCGTTATCGCCAACGACAAAATTATCCAGACGCTGCTCAAGAGGATGCTCAATCGCCAGCGTAAACTGCTGCGGCACAGGCATAGAACTAATCGACCCGGCGAAAGCCTGAGGGGCCGTGTTTATACAGCTTACGTTTCTTGCCTTCCCGATAAGCTTTCGAACCCCAGGTAATGACGTAGTCGATGCCGGAGCTGACACCCAGCACCGCCAGCACATAAAAACAGGGCTGCGCAGAGCTGGCTGCAATCTCTGCCACCACACCCAGAGGCAGGAAGCTGGCCATCAACAGACACACGGTAAAGATCTGCATCGCCGTGTTGGCCTTGCTTAAAAAAGTAGGTGATATGTCTACTTCTTCGTACAACAATTTATATACACCGGCGCCCGCGATGATAGTGAAATCGCGAATCAGCACAATCAAAGCGACCCACAGCGGAATATGGCCCTGCAAAGTGAAAATGATAAACATCGCTGCAACCAGCAGTTTATCTGCTAAGGGATCAAGGGTTGCACCAAGCTTGCTCATCCAGTTAAAGCGGCGGGCCAGAAATCCGTCAAACGCATCAGATAACCCGGCGATCAACATCAGCACAAAGGCCTCCATAAATCGCTCATGCCAGAGCATCCAACCGGTGGGCAACACCAGCAGGATTCGCAGCACAGTAATAATGTTGGGAATCTGTGACATCTCTAACCCTGCCAGATGAGCTGCATCTCAAACCCGCGCGCCAACAGATCTTCACGCAGCTTGCCTTGTGCTGTGAGCAGCGCCAGCAGCTGCTCAGGTTCGGCGCGACTGACCAGAGACAGACTCAAACGACGATCATCTATGGCTTCAACATCCAGCCCGTCGACAAACTCTAAACTGTTGAGATACGTCATCAGCTCGGCATAACCCAACACATCTGACAGGCCGCTGATATAGATTCGCTGAGCGCGCTGAGCACGGGGTAATACCGCATACTTTTCCGCCAGACGTTCGGTGAGCATATCAATGCCACCACGCACAGCCTCTGCCAGATCAGGGGTAGTGAAATTGGTTGCCAGGGGCTGTCCTTCCAGCCAGATTTCCCAGTCACCACGATAGATTTCACCATCAAACGTCTGATCCTGACTCAGCCGTCCAACCAGCACCAGATCAGCATCATAACGCTCGGCCGCCTGCTCCAGCGACGCGGTGACCTTACCCCAGACATCTGCCGGACTCACCGCCAGCGAATCGTCGAGATCAAGCAGCGGCAGAGTGAGCGTTACGCCACGGTCAGCGGCGTATTTGCGTAACTCCGCCACCAGCGGATGCGGGCTGGAACTGGCAAGGATTTCCCGGCTGGAACCGTCATCAACCACCAGCCAGGCCAGTACATTAGGCCGCTTCGACCACCACACCGGCAGATTTGCCGCTTTGACCAGTTGCAGCATGACATTCGATTGGAAAGTGATCCGTATATGCGTTTGCGGCTCGCCACTGGCTTCCCGGGTAGTAAAAAATACAAACCGATTGTAGTAGTTCTGCGGCTGCTCAAGCGCTGCAGCGATGGCCGGTGTGCGTGGAACCGAGACCAGACCTGTCAGACGGGACAACACCACCAACAACCCTTCCTGGGCGACTCGATCCCGCTCTTCGTTACTCTGTGCAGCAACGGGTCGATCCACGGCATATAGCCAATCAGCATCACGCAACGCCTGTGCAGAAGCAGGCGCAAGCAGACCGACCACAAAAAACAGGGTCACGATAAACACTGATCTGATTATTAGGTACACACGCAAACCCACTCTGAGAGGAACGTTTCAAGGCACTGTTCGAGCCAAACAGTTTAGCGAAAAACCAGCCGCCGCGAGAGAGATTATCGCATCAGGTTAATTTGACCGTTTGCTCCGCAAGCCGCTCTGCTAAACTCTCTGCTCTAATCCGGATTACATCCGGATTAGAGCCCCTAGACCCCACCCGGCCACATTGGCCTGTATCGGAGAGACACTTTTGTCAGATGCCAGCACACCCCCCACCCAGTCAGGGCTGAGTTACAAAGACGCCGGCGTCGATATCGAAGCGGGCGCGGAACTGATTCGGCGGATTGCGCCCGCCTGCAAAGCCACGCATCGTCCGGAGATGCTCTCCACCCTGGGCGGGTTTGCGGCAATGACCGAGATACCCGAGGGTTACAAACAACCGGTGCTGGTGTCAGGCACCGATGGGGTCGGCACAAAACTCAAACTGGCCATTGATCACAACCGACATGAAACCGTGGGTCAGGATCTGGTGGCAATGTGCGCCAACGATGTGCTGGTTACCGGTGCGGAACCCTTCCTGTTTCTGGATTACTACGCCACCGGCGGACTGGATGTCGACACGGCCAGCACGGTCATTAAAGGTGTTGCCCATGGCTGCGAACTAGCGGGTTGTTCCCTAGCAGGTGGCGAAACAGCTGAAATGCCCGGCTTCTACGCGGAAGGTGAATACGACCTGGCGGGCTTCTGTGTAGGCGTGGCCGAGAAGACCAGGATCGTCTCCGGCGATAAGCTGGACATTGATGACGTCATCATAGGACTGCCCAGTTCCGGCGCGCACAGCAACGGTTACTCGCTGATCCGCAAAGTGATATCCAATCTTGGGGTAGAACCCAATGTAGACCTGCTCGATGACCTGCTTGCACCCACCCGTATTTACGTCAAATCCGTACTGGCAACCCTGCAGGTAATCAGTCCACACGCCATGGTGCACATCACCGGGGGCGGTTTTTACGAAAACGTGCCTAGGGTGTTGAACAACCCGCAACATGCTGCGCTGATCAACACTGACGCCTGGCAGCGCCCGGAGGTGTTTGCCTGGCTGCAGCAGGCAGGCAATATCGACGAACGCGAAATGCTCACAACATTCAACTGTGGCATCGGGTTCATGCTGGTTGTTGACCGGCAGGATGCAGAGCGCTGTATGGCGGTACTGCGCGAACAGGGCGAGCTACCCGTCGTAATCGGCGCCATTGTCAGTGCCGAACATACACCCGCGGCGGGTCAGATACTGATCCGCTGATGCCTCAGGATCGAGGCAGCGTGACGCCGGTCTGACCCTGATATTTGCCACCCCGGTCCTTGTAAGTCACCTGACAACGCTCATCGGACTGGAAGAACAACATCTGCGCCACCCCTTCATTGGCGTAAATTTTAGCGGGCAAAGTGGTGGTGTTAGAAAACTCCAGCGTCACATGCCCTTCC